ACTTGCTTAATTAAAATTTCCTGGTTTTAGGCCGGGCGTGGTGGCTCACGCCTGTAATCGTAGCTCTCTGGGAGGCCGAGGCGGGCGGATTGTTTGAGCTCCGGAGTTCGAGACCAGCCTGAGCAAGAGTGAGACCCCATCTCTACTAGAAATAGAAAGAAATTAATTGGACAACTAAAAATATATAGAAAAAATTAGCCGGGCATGGTGGGGCATGCCTGTAGTCCCAGCTACTCGGGCAGCTGAGGCAGGAGGATCACTTGAGCCCAGGAGTTTGAGGTTGCTGTGAGCTAGGATGACGCCACGGCACTCTAGCCCGGGCAACACAGTGAGACTCTGTCTCAAAAAAAAAAAAAAATTCCTGGTTTTGGACAACGTATCTTCTGATCGATAACTAAGTTTACCATGTGTCCTCAAACCACCTGGCTCTTCCGATCCTTCGCAGCAGTTCTTCCCAAACATGCCTGGTCATAAGATACACCACAAGGGGGGCAGGGGTCTCTCTCACAAAACACACATTCCTGGGCTCCCCGGCCACGTAAAGAATCGCAAACTAGGCGAATGATTCTTAGGATCAGGCAAGACTGGGAAGAAATACTGCTTCAAGTCCCCCTTTTCTCTTTGTTCAAATTGAGGAAGTAACCGAATTTAAGTAGACTCTACTACACTGAACTTATCTCTATTTTCATTTTAAAAAGAGAAAGGGCTGAGTGACCCTTATTTCATCAGTCTCTGTTCTTAAGTGTTATATTTTTTCAACGTTTAGCCCATTTTCAACCGCTGCTTTTAGCACCATCAACACAGCCAATACACCCACCAGATGGCACAAAGACATTGTTTACAGGCCTAGTAAAAGAGAATGAGCAGAATGCAGCCCATTTTATCTCATACCAACAGCCACTGAATGGCTAGAGCTGATCAAGGCAGCTGGGTGCAACCACAAGGATCAGAATTTATGAGTACTAAAGTACCCAAGAGTACTTAATTGTAAATCATTCTCAGAAGAAGCTCACAATCCCTCTGAGATGGTAACCAGACAGTGTTAACAAATAAATCCATTTAAATTTACATTCAAGTGAGATATTTTTCTAATATTTATAAAAGGTGACAATGGCCACAGACAGACCTTGACTTAAAAAATTGTCTTAAAATAAATTCAAAAATTTAGGACACAAACTCAAACAGACCAAGGACCATCCATGAATTAGAGTTTCAAAGTAATTCACAAATTAAAAAGGGGACCATTGTTCCATAATACTATACTAAGTAGCTCATTCAAAACTGCAGTAAGTTATTGATATGCTTGTTTCAACAATATATGTCACTTGAGGACTATTATTGAAGCTACATTTAAATCAGATTGTAAAGTGTAAGAAATCTTAAAGTTAGATATTGATGATGACAAAACCTATTTGTATTAAAAAACTTATCCATTAAAAGAGTTTTGAAAACTTTTATAAATAAGTTCTTCTGTTTCTACCTGGCACACAGTAAGTGCTCAGTTAGTGGTCTCTTCACTTTTCTGTCAGAGAAATTGCCAAGAAGAGTTGTCAAAGTTTCACCGCAAGTGAGCAAAGTGCCAAAAACAAAGTTCCCTGCTGATAGTCTCCAGTTTTAGAGTTATCATCTAAAAATTCATTTAAAAACTGGTTGCTTGAAACTTGGTAGAAAGAAACAACGTTATGTTCACTCATACTCAAAGCAAAGTACTCACACTATTTCACCTGTTCCTAAACAGCAATGTAAAAGGTTTTTCTTTCAGAAAAATATAGGCATCAGGCAAATCTTCCCTCTTAACCCACCCAGAGATGAGAAATGTCTAGGTAGCTATTAATTATTTCTATTTGCCCTGTAAGGTAGAGAGAAAGGCTAAATTGGTTACTCTCTGGGTATCTCAACTTGGGGAACAATCAATAGGTTAAGACAGATTCCCCTAAGATGTCAGTTTTGTGCTAAAAAAAGAGTTCATATATAAGACAAGAACCACAGGTACCTCACACTGAAGTCTTTCTGTGTTCATTTTAAATAGTGAAATCAATTGTGTATAGAAGTGTTTTACTGGATATTAAGGATAATTAAGGAATTATGTCTAGATGGCAGCAACAGTTTGTTTTTTTTTTTAATTTAGACACTGCCAACCAATTTTTAGGTAACAAACTCAAACTGGTTTTGTTTCTCATATACAGAGTATAAATCTACAGCATAATAGAAATTGGTTTATCATAGAGTATTTATCTACAAAATAATAAAAACTAATGTGCTCTTCTCTACCATAATTTGAACACACTCCATAATTTACATCTACAGAGATAGTGGGAATTCATCTTAAAGTAATTCATCTTAAAGTGATTTACTCTTAATTTGTTAATTTGTTAATTTCTTAACTTGAAGGGTTAGGAGTCTCAACGATTTCTATATTGCTGTTGCTGATATTGTTTTCCTTGTTAAGTAACTTATTGTCCTGTCTGTACATAAAATTCTAAGTGATACCTATTTTTGATAACTATAATCTATGATGCTGCGGGTCACCAACTTTTTTTTAAAGGCTGTTTGTTCTATCAAAATTTATATTCTTTGATCAAAGTTGTGAAAGGTCTTACTTTAGGCAAATCTATACTTTGTAAATCCATTTAAAACTCTACATAAGTTATTTTACTTATCTCAGAAAAATGGGGAAAAACCCAACTGCTACATATTGCTATTTTTTTAAAAAAGCAAAATGTACATAGATCGATTTTAGAATCTTAATTAATACAATGATCCAATGAACTTCAAAATCTCTAAATTCTGTAATCATTAGTTGAAGAAAAGAAAATCTTCAGGAAAGCCCACAGACCCTAGCTAAGAGCAAGAGAAATTTTTAGAAATCTCCTTGAATGTTGATATCTTTTCCAGTCTTCTGCTTAGACTAATTAAGTATTTAGAAAATTGTATAATATTTAATCCATATATAAATTTTAAACTATAGCTTAAATAATTTCTTAGCTATTATAAATTACTACTAATTTTACAGTGTAGGGTATGGCAAATACTTAATAAGTAAGTGCCTCGTGTTAAAGATCTGGTGCTCAGCACTGATTTTTCAAGAGCTAATTTTAAGAAATGAAAATGTATAAATGCATATTGCACATTATACAAGAGCACAGAACTTCTTTGTGTTACTTGTACAAGGAAAGGTTTTAACTTTACTTATTATGAATTCCACAAATTCAAAACTATTTTTTAAAATCCTGTTTTCATTATATGCATCTTCCTTCCAAGCTCTTCCTTCCTACTCTTTGCAGGAGACAAACATTCTCCTCTTTTCATTAGCAACCAATCTATTATCTTTCTTTTTAGAGGCAAACTGTAACACATCATTTCAATTAAATCCAAAATATTTCTCCTACATTTCTTATTCAAAGGTCTTAGGAATAAGTCTTGTGCTTCTCACAGAAGATGAAATGATCTATCAACATATTCAACTAATGTTTCATATTTCAATTTCATTTTGAGCCTTTGTACCTATTGCACAATCATAAACTTTTGGAACCTAAATATTTCCTATATATATTATACAGCTTGAGCTTTTAAAAAAATTCTATAATTATTGATTTTTTTCATAATTTAAATTCACTAAAATTAACTTTTTAATATTTTTATTAATTACACACAATTTTTGAAGATAAAAAAGCCTCTTTAAAAATTATGTTACTCATTTTGTTACACTATACTAATTCTCAAATCTTGAATATAAAATAAATTTTAAATGACAAAGTTTTATTTATTCACTGATTAAGTCAGATTTATGACCTCCTCTCCCCATTCCAGCTACTGTTGAGTTTTGAATGAAACAACCTCAATTGTAACAGAAGAAACATCTGTTGCTTTTTTTTCTTCATCAGGGCTTTCCTAACTGAAAGAAAGGCTCTCTGCCTGACCTCCTCTCCCACTCCCCCTCCCCACCCAGACCAAGTTTCTTAAAACTTTTTAGGTAAATGTATTATTTAAAATTTTACTGTATTTATTTAAAATTTCATAGTTTACTTAGAAACATTCACTTCCTCCTTGAAGTTCAAAGAATAACTAAATGCTGTATACATCAAAAAACAAGACATGTGCCTGATAGAATATAAATTGTAACTAAAATGCAAACTTCAAGGGTATACTTGAAATGATCAGCCCAATTAAGTTGTCACACATTCCTGGCTCACTAAGAATTGTTTAGGGATAAGATTTTCTTCACAGTATCAAGATTCATATAGCATCTCCTATGCTATATTTTCTTTGCCAATCCAAGGCTAACATAATGGCAGTCACTACCCCAAGAGGCAGACACCAAATGGTGCCACCCACACTCTCACACTGTGCCTCATAATAAACCATAAAGCAGTGGAATGCACCGGCCCCTTTATGAGCAAACAATGCCTAAGCTTCATTAGAATACAGCTGACATTTTCAAAGCACAAATACTTTTAAGAAAAATGTACTAGAAAAGAAAGGAATGAAACAGCTATAAAAGCTGAAATATTTTTCAAGTGTCAGGTTGATTTCTAAAGATCCTGAGGGAGCATATTTTGCTGTTGACAATTTAAAAGTTTTCATAAATGGAAAAAATGTTGTTAAGGCCAAAGCTTATTTTATTAACTACAAGGAAAAAAATGCAAGTAAAAGCTATCATTTGAATTGCTTTCACAAGTAATAACCATGAATACCTTCTAAATTATTAATTTCCTCAACTGCTTTAGTTTTGAATGAAGAAAACTGAACTCCAGAATTATTTTCACATTTTAATTAATTTATATAAGTAATTGAGTGATAAACTAAGCTAACTCTACCCCTCCCCCCTGCCCACGCCAACCCCCATACCCTGTAGTTTTTCTGTCTGCAACAAGCAAGGACGTCTTGAAATCACCGTGCTCCTGGCTATTGATCAATTTAGTATTGCTGCTGTATAAAGAATATAAAATAAACGCTGTAAAAACTCACCCGGCGGTAGGAAACAACCTGATCTCTCTTACCTGGTCTAAGGAAGCATGCCTCTCACTGCAGTACCAACAACACTCTACAGTCTTTGTTACCATTCACTGGAAACTTGAGACTGTGTCAGACGTAAGCAATCGAGCTCAGAAAAGCTCAATGTAAAATACTTCTCAGTAAAACTAAAAAGATGCTCAAGAAAATTGTTTAGTTAACTGGCTTTCAAAAGACATAGGAATACTGTCTATAACCAAGCCACTTCAAAAGAAACTGAAAGTGCAGGTCTTAAGAGATGAAGGGGCTTTTCTGTGCAACACCTTGCTTTCTTATTAAATTAAAAGGATTTTTTTTTTGGTAAGGAAAATGCTTGAAGTAAAAGTGGCGAAATGACAAAATGCCTAACTCTAAGTTAACATTTTTCTAAATATCACTTGAATTTTAACTAATTAAAAAATAAGATTAAACTTACGCATGAAACCTGTATAATTCGAATTATACATGTCAGGATATTTGCTGGTTCCAAAGCAGTCACAAAGCAGGAGACCTTAAGGCATCTTGAAAGCAGAGCAAAAGTACCACGAGTTCCAGGGGGAAAAAAGGAGGAGAAACTCTTGAAAAACTGGTCGGGGCTTTCTGAACCTGTAATAACTGTCCAGCTCTTGTGGGAGGGAAAAAAATGTCCTGGTCCTGCCCCCTGAGATAGGAGGCTATGCTTCAATGCCAAAATGAATGACAGACCCATTTCTGATATCAACAAAGAGCAGCTTAGTTGTGCTCTATTTTTGTTTCACTTTCTCACACAGAAGTTCTAAATTTTTCAGGTTAGTCCCTTTATATCTAGGGTTAAGTACCTTTCTCCATTTTCTCAAGAGGGAACCCAATTATGCTGTCCTAGTTTTCTAGATGATTAATTAAATATATATACCTAATCATCTTACTCAGTTTTCCTAGGCAGCCAGCTGAACAAAAGATGGCCTCTTAAGTTCCTTTCCAAATCTATTCTTTGCAATATCAGATAACCATATGACTAATTATCAATATTAATAAGCTCTTCCAGCATCCTGAAGTGTGGTACAAGTAGAAACAAAAAGTAGGTAACATTAAAAATAAAGCAACTGACATAAAAAAATTTTCAACTAGCTAGACATAAAAATAATTTACCAAAGTAGATGTCTATTATTATACAAATTCAAAACAATAAACACTTCAATCAATAACATATATTTACTGAATTCTTATAATAAGCCAATGACTATTTTGGGACCTGGGGATATAGAAGTGAATACAAGAGACAAAGCCAAACAAAAATCCCTGTCTTCATTGAGTTTGTAAGTTTATATCTCACTTTCCTGTAAGTACAACTCTCCTGGATGACTACAGTACTTTCCCTTCTTTGATTAGTTACCACTAATCTGAAATATTTCCCTTTGAAAGTATTTTTTGACAACAGCTCCAGGAGGTGTCACAAAGTATTCTGTGCTATGTTCAGTATTACATCTCCAGTGTCTAAACAGTATCGTATAGATATGCAAATATATACTGAATGAAATAGATCGGAGAGCTTTTTCTTACTCAAACTTTTCTTTTGCAAACACATGTGACACTTACACGAATACAGAGATATGCCAACAATGACACAGATTAGGGTAAAAATTAAATTGGGTTGTAAACACGTGTTACTTTAAAGGAAATTGAAAATACAACCTCTAAGGCTCTGTATCTTTTCAGATTCTAAAATCTGTTTTCACTATCGGATGTGAGGTCAGTATAATATTTCAGTAAAAAAATCACATTAAATTCTATAAACTAAGTTATAGACATTCAGATTTCAGAGGAGTCTGAATAAAAAAAGAAGAAACTTGGAAATTATATAGAATAAGTTCTGTATATTAAAATCTTACATCTCCATTTACATTCCCACATTGGACATAATTTTAAACTCCCCATCCTGCTTCGCACCATTCTAGATCATCTTACCCGATGACCTTTCTTACAGAGAAAATAAATGCACACCTCTAACCTGTCAGATCAGCCAGAAGTGCTCACCCGCATCACCCGGGCCAGGATATTCAGGGGCTAGATACGGTCATATCTACTCTGTTACAGTCTTTAAGACAAAAAGAAATTAAACTTCTAAGTACTCAGGTATATTCACCATACCTCTAAAGAGCAGAGTATACCCCCTCCCTCCAATTCATTGATTGAACAATGATTACAAGTTCAAACATAAGCTACCTAATGTATGTTTTAACAATAAACCTATTGTTAAAACAATAGATATATGTTTTAACAATAAACCTCAGGTCAGGAAGACACCAAGCTAAGGTCAGGAACCCAAGGTCAGGAAGACACATGTGATGACTGAGGTCAGTGATTCCACCTTTCTTAGAGGGTCAATTTTCCTTCTCCCTAACGATCATTCCTTCCTTCCTTCCTTCAACAAATATTTTGCACCTATAAAGTATCAGACACTGAGCTAGGCAACAAGCTGATCTGCTACCTACTGTTTACTCCACAGATCTGACCTTCAGCCTATCTTTATTTCTCCACACATTTCCTTCTCCAGCTCGCCGTCCTTCCCAGTGCAGCTTCCAGTCTCACCTTCCTCCCTCACACTGCCCTTCGAGCTACTCCCATGCCTTTCTCGGCAGAGGGCACAATCGCTATGTTCTTGCACAAAGCTATGACACAGTGTGGGGAAATTCATAGGACTCTGCACTGGCATAATAAAATACATCTTATGTAGGTCCTCTCAAACAATTTCTTCTTAATCTCATACAGAAAATCTATTTAAGCATCTCATTAATTATAACTATTGATTACCCAGAAAACACCAAAGAGGGCTAGGCATTCTCTCTCCCAGGTTTATAATCTGATTTATCCGGACTGGAGTTTGCTATGTTTATTGGCAATCTGACCAAATATTAACCACATTTAACAGACGCATTTATGATTCTATAGGCTGAAATGACACTATGATAGCACAATGATAGTTTTTATTTGGCCAGTGCCTACTAGATATAACTATCTGCCATGCCCATATAGTGAAGGATTGAAATTAGCTATGATGTACCTGTACTTAGATTTTCAAGTAAAATGTCTAATCTTCCTGACAAGTACTACACCTAAAGCAAAAGGTTTATGCTACTACTTGCATGGGTTAAATGCTGATTCCTTCCTTCCTTCCTTCCTTCCTTCCTTCCTTCCTTCCTTCCTTCCTTCCTCCCTCCCTTCCTTCCTTCCTCCCTCCTTTTTTTTTCAGACAGGGCTTGCTCTGTCACCCAGGCTGGAGTGCAGTGGCATCATAGCTCTCTGCAACCTTGAACTACTGGGCTCAAATGATCTATCTGTCTCAGCCTCCCAAGTAGCTGAGACTACAGGCACACTACCACACCCTGCTAATTTTGTTTTTTGTTATTTTTTTGTAGAGATGGGGTCTTGCTATGTTGCTCAGGCTGGTCTTGAACTCCTGGCTTCAAGCAATCCTCCTGCTTCGGCCTCCCAGAGTGCTAGAATTATAGGTGTGAGCCACCACGCCTGGCCTTATAAGTGCTGATTTTCATAAACATTACATAGTAAGGAACCTCACTTTCACTTGCTCCTCTTCCTCTTTCTACTTATTTTTTTTCTTTTTTCTTTTTTTTTCTGAGCTAAGATCTCACTATGCCTTGAATTCCTGGGCTCAAGTAACCCTCCTATCTCAGCCTCCCGAGTAGCTGGGACTACTGGCATGCAGCACGATGCCTGGCTCTTTAAACAGAGACATTTTGGGGGTCGTGTCCTTCATGTTCTTTTCTATACTCCCTCTAAAGGACGTTACCCATTTCTATGGCTTTATCACCTCTACACAGATGACTACAAAAATTTATACTTCTAGCCCTGGCTTTTTATTCTGCTCTGCTCTAAACTTTAAAACTGCCTATTGGACATCTTTTTCTATATATCCCATAATCTCAACTCAATTTCTGCAGTATTGAACTTCTTATCTACTGTCCCAAACTAGTTCATCCTCCTATGTTCCCCATCCTTGTTAAAGGCATCAACATCCAGAATAAAAAGTGATTTTCTTCTTGCCTCATCCTCACCATCCAAATGCCCACATTATTTTCAGTTTTTCCTAACACATAACATTCTATTAGTTTAAAAACAAAACAGGCCAGGCCAAATGACTCATGTCTGTAATCCTAGCACTCTGGGTGGCTAAGGTGGGAGGATTGCTTGAGGCCAGGAGTTCAAGATCAGACCAAGCAAGAACGAGACCCCAATATCTACAAAAAATAGAAAAATTATCTGGATGTGGTGTGCACCTGCAGTCCCAGCTACTCAGGAGGCTGAGGCAGGAGGATTGCTTGAGCCCAGGAGTTTGAGGTTGCTGTGAGCTATCATGACACTACTGCACTCTAGCTTGGGCAGCAGAGCAAGATGACTCTGTTTCAAAAAAAAAAAAAGAAGAAGAAATGAGAAATACAACTTCTGATGCCCTCCCCATGTCTAGAGCTATGCTATCCAAAATGGTGGCCGTAGCCACATTTGGCAATTTAAATTTAAATTGATTAAAGTGAAATAAAATTTAAAATTCAACTTCTCAGTCATAGTAGTCACATAGTGACTAACAGCTATGTACTGAACAGTGCAGATGTAGAGCATTTCCATAATTGTAGAAAGTTCTATTAAACAATTCTGATACAGACTACAATAGCAAACTGTTTAAGTTAGTCGTCCAAATTTTCCTCAATCTGTTCCCAATCTACCTTTCTAATCTTACCTTCTACCAAAATTCCTATGCCCGCTTTAGTCACAGCTGAGTTAGTGGGGCCCACAGAATCAAGTGGGAAGCTTCATGGGATGAGGGGCCAACGCAAGCCATGTGGAGAGGGAGCTACGTGAGGGAAAGGGACCACAGATGCTAGCGAGGACAAACATAGTGCACTAAAGCCCTCACAAGTTAGAAAGGGATGGAATTTTGAACACAAGATTTGTAGCCTTTGAGAAGGAATATGGAATATTAGAGTCAGAATACTTCATCCAAATTCAAGTATTAGCTTAGTAATAAGGGACAGAAACCAAACT